TTTTGTTGACTTGTGTCTATAACTGAAAGCCTAAAGTCTCAATCTAAGCAACTTTTTTTAGTTGCTCTTCGAGCCGCTGTGCTTCAGACAATGTGCTTCTGCTGCTAGCGCTGTTTCTAAATACATAACATTTTTCTTTTAGAAAATGATGTTTTAATTTAAATGACATTAATTGATATTAGTTGTTTCGTTCTGTCCTTGTGTTTATTTTTGTTTGTTGCGTTCTCTGTATCCGTGTTGACTGTAATTGGTCCTTGACCTTTTGAGTCCTGCACGCAAGAAATCAGACGCATTATTATTATTATTATTATTATTATTATTATTAGTAGTAGTAGTAGTAGTAGTAGTATTGGGCACGCGGTAGCATAGTTGTTTGAGGCACTATGTTACAAGCCGGAAGGTCGCGGGATCAGTTCCTGATGACGTCATCCTATTTTTTCAGTTAGCCTAATTCTTCCCGCCGCACCATGGTCCTGGGATCGACTCAGTTTCTAACAGAAATGAGTACCAGGTATCTTCCTGGTGGTAAAGGGCGGTCGGTGCGTAAGGCTGAAAACCTCACAGCCATCTGTGATCCGACTGTCTAGAAAATATGGGAGCCCCGACGTCCCATAACGCTATGGACCTCCTATCCTATTAGAGGGGTAACTTAGCCTTGTTTACCTTTATTCTTCTTCTTCTTATTATTATTATTATTTCGGTTTACCAACTAGGCGAACGGCTAGACGATAGAAGATAATTTTGGTACGTTAACGCAGGTGGTATATGTAGATACCACTGGGCTCTAAAGGTTGAAAGGAGCCCAGGAACAAATGATTCTCGCACATTTCAGAATATAGAAATATACTCGAGGCTCATAAGATGAGGTATATGTAGATACCACTGGGCTCTAAAGGGTGAAAGGAGCCCAGGAACAAATGATTCTCGCACATTTCAGAATATAGAAGTATACTCGAGGCTGATAAGCTGAGGTATATTGTCCATACGTCATTAGTGGGTCAGTCCTGCTGTAAACTATAAACTGTAGAGTTCGGAATTGAAGATGAATGGTATATATAGATCAGACACTGCAAAACATTAGGTCCGCGGGCATCTTGGTGCCTTCACAATTTCTCAGTTCCCCGCTATTGGCCACGAAGTGCTGGCGGTTTTCAGCTCATGAATCAAATCTCTGCGCAGCCCCTAGGGCTTCTGAATGCTTAGAATGTGTTCGCATTAACTGTGGGGTTAGAGTGCAAATAATGGTGACATTTCCTAAGAAAATGACACTATTAGTTATTTGTAAGATGTAGTATGTCGGAACAATATTTTGGAAACCGAACTGACGTCAGAACACAAAGTGCCATGTTAAGCCTGCTTTCATAAAGTAGGCTTATGAGATCTCCGTCCTGTCTGTGTGTCTGTGCATCTTCTCGTAGCTGAACCAATTTCTATGAAACTTTGTATGTGTATAATGACAACTGAGCCCATCTCAAAGGCATACTTCATAAATCCCTCTCATCAGTCTGTATGTTTAAATGTTTATCCCTCCTATCGTTACTAGGCAAAGGTTGGCTAAACACTTTCCCGTGGCAACGAATACAGGCATCAGTAGAAGAATTGTTGGACACGTCTTTCCCCATGTTGTCAGTGTCTTATCAGAGGAGAGCCCCTGGGTCTGTCTGTTCATCCCCATATCTTTGCTAGACATAAACTCAGTAAAAATATTCTCGCGGTGGCGAAGAATTGTAGGAGGAGTCGTTTTCTATGCTCTCCGTGTCGTATCAAAAGAAAGTAGGCAATTAGTTGTTCACAGAATTTCTTGTTCTTGACGCGATTATTTCAGTTCGCCCATCCTATGACACGGTAGATTCATACAGTGACCACTGCAGATTACGAACATCTCTAAGTTTCTTGTCGCCCAGAAAAGTTGGTGACCTCTGCTGTAAGTTACTTCTTTTGACAGGCGCGCGGATATTCAGTTTTGACGCTACGTAGACATGTGAATCTTCTAAGTGCTCTAGAGTCCTAGGAATACACTGCATAACGAAAAATACAAGTATACTTCATTTTCTACGAGAACGAGTGTGTGTCATCGTCAGTGACTTAAAAGTTGCGTCATACGTATTATACAGTTATTAGATTCTATTTTCACCACACTTCTGATATTCGTACATCGTTGAGACATTCAAACATAGGTGCAGAGAACTAGTCAGGACTACTCTCTAATAAACACCTTTTGTGTCATGAGGTCACGTGTCTAATTAACGAGGAGAATATATCGTATATTTTGTGATGCAGACAGTGCTAACTAATTAATGGGGGGTATTTGGCCATCAACACAACAATAAGAAATAAACCAATCGAACTCTACACACATTGGTTATTACATGTTTCGGTCCACATTTGGGACCATCTTCAGGCAGTATCATAGAATTTACACTCAACGACAAGAGAATTTTAAATAATTTTAAATTTTGGAAATTAGTAAAATTCTTGCAACTTCGTGGCGGTTGCATGTGACTGTGATTAGTAGCACTAATATGAAGCCATACTAACACAATTCAATAACAGGAGACGTATTTGATGAGACTGCCTGAAGATGGTCCCAAATGTGGACCAAAACATGTAGCAACTGTCAAGTAAAACCAATGTGAGCAGTTCGATTGGTTTATTTTTATTGTTGTGTTGGCAGCCAAATACCACTAATCATGATACACAACAGGATGCAAACAGTGCAGGGTGCCAACTAAATATATATAGACCCTACTGACGTTAATATATAATTATTGAACTGTTATGTATATTACGAGTTGTTATAAAATACAAAATAGCATTAGCTTCATCACAGAAACAGATATTAGTCCTTATTCTGCTCAGTTTCAATTAAAATCACACCTCCTTACATAATTTAAGATTTTTGTCTGAATATTCTATCTAATTTCTGTATCCCAATTCTGTAATAATTTTGGGATGGATTCTAATGTACGGCTATTCCTGGCAGGATCGAAGAATCCCATGAACAACTCGAGACAGTTTTCAAAGAGGAAGGGTCCAGCATACGAAGTAAAAGTGGCAACTCTCTTACCGCATTTTGTTTGGCTCATATGACTGTATTTTTTTGTTTTGTTACGGGTATAATTAGGGAAAGAAATGGAATTCTATCCAGCAGTATAGAAGAGAGGAAAATGGAAAAAAAAATACGAGGTGTGCTTGATCATTGAAACTACTTCTCTAGTGTCTATCGGTCTGCTTCGAATGAAGCGAAATCTTCGTTGACCAATAACAATTGAGACATTCAGTTCAAGTGTGAGGATTAAAGGAGAAATTCTGCCCCTACCTCAAGATAAACAGATAGTTCGCAGCCAGATCGAAACTTCATTGTTCATTATGTCCGTCATTTTCAACATTCATAGTTATTTTAATCTAAGCTGATTTCGTACAACAAAAAGAGGCTTATTAAATCATCATGTTGTTTGTGTGCGTGTTCCCCTCTTTCAATTTCTGAACCAGCTGGCCGATTTTTTACTGAATTCAGTATGAACATTATTCTACTGGAGGCCACTCCAACCTAGTACTTCTTAACTTTCGATGTTCTTACTAACTGCATGTCGAGCACATGGACATGGGAGGTGGAAGCGAGTAGCACCACTACATTTTGTATCCTGAAATGATGTATGCTAAGTTATCGTGTATAAGGGATCATTGAAGAATGTGCTATTTTAGGTAAAGCGATGTTCTGCAGAATGTAAAAAATATGGCGACCATGCGAAATTTTCATTGCGTTTTAAGACTGACATCGGCAACTGATGAACGACTGGATCCAGAAATAGGAAATGTTATATGAAGATAGGTTACACACAGTCTTAGAAGTTTTGTGGAAACTACTGCTTACAAGTCAACAACCACAACCATGTTTCTGGTTATATGTGAATAATTTAACGCAGATTCCCCAAAAAGCAGCTTTAATCAAAATCATAATATAAAAATTATTGTAATTAAGGCATAAAACTTGTTTCAACACAATTCGATCCTGTCTGAATTTATGCGTTATCTCAGAACACCAACCTATGAGCTAACTTGCATTTTGCTATTGGGCTATGTAGTTATTTTACCTACATAATAACTTTAACAAGATCATATTAGTAAGACCTGTAGGAATTGTAGAAAAGTAGGCTTTACAACAACTTTCCGGAACCCCTCGTACAAATAGCGTAACCAATGTAACCATGGGCGCTACTAGGATTTATTCCAAGGGAGGGAGGCAGCCAGAAAATTTGATTACAAGCTTACATTAGAGTCGTTTAGGAATGTTTTTACGGATCGCCGTAAGTTATTGTTCTATATGCTGCAACAGATATAGCACCACGATCAGTATTTAAGCTCTTTTGATATTAATATCTGGTTATCTCCTTTTATTTTCAATTCAAACTTCTTCTATAAATGCTTGGATTGCCTTCGCCCTTCCGGAGCCTATAAGTGTAACGCAAAAACGGTTGACGGAAGACAGCTGATGCAGTTGTTAAATATTTAGAATATCTTTCTGCCAATAGTTATTTCGCGTGTTCGATGGTAATTGCCCACATCGCGTTTATTATTTTATACATTTTCCTTACTATAAAGCATTTTTCGATGACACAACCTACAAAATCAGATCTTCATCAGGAAAGAGTTGGAGAATTCAAGCTGATTGTTTGAAGTGACTGACTAGTCTCGTAAAATCAGATTAGGAAATTGAAGACTGGCAGTGAATACAAACAATCCATTACTGAAATACTTTTTTTCTAACGTCAAAACTTGCCATATTTGAAATATATTGATGCAAATTATTTTGCAAAATACTGCTTATTGTGGACATATATAAGCAATAAAATATCGTTAGGCCTAAGTGCATGAAATAAATCAAGTTCGTAAATTAAAAAAAAAGTTTTCTATCGACTTCTGCCCAAGCAAGAATATATTTGAAGCGACTACGGAAACGCACCAAATAATTTGCGCATAATGACACAACTCTCGGTGCTACCGACTGGGCCACGCAGCCACAAAGGCCACAACCATCGGCAAGATCTTTACCGTCGTCGTTATGTGGAATGCAGCGCAGTCCAATATGGCCGCTGACTCGGGAATGGATACGTGTCCATCCCCAGAAATACCAGATTCTCGGAAAAGACCATTAGATGGCGAAGTTGAAAATGGAACGACAAAGAGATCACATTACGGTGGAGGTAAATAAATATTAATTTAACCGATGTAACTGTAATTACTTGTATTTAAGCTAAACATAAGTTAACTCCATAAGACATTTCGCTCCAGCTTTGAGGTGGCACTTGGGAAAAATTATGCTCAAACTAGGTAGTTTTTTCGCACGTAACTGGTATTTCAGCAGTGAAATTCAATGTAGGACGAAAAGTAGTATAATTTTCTAATTTTATAGTAATATGACATTTTTCTGGTTTGTATTTATTGGTTCTCGTAGAGTGGTGTGGTTGGGAGGTGACTTGCATTTCAGTGCCAACATTAACAATTTATTGTAGCAATATACTTTGATGTTCCGTGTACTGGTTCGTGAAGAACTGCCCACATTTTTTCATTATTGTACTTGTCATATCTGCGCTTACTTAATTAAGTTCTGTACATTTATCCAGAGGATAAGACTGTGACCTTGTGATGTACCATCATGAAGTTAAGTACCACATTAATTTTTAAAATATTACAGTCAGAGGATTGTTTCAAAGTTTACCTGTTAATTATGGTAAGCGATAATTTGAATGCTAGTAAACAAATATTAGTGGAACATTTAGGCAAGGTCCTTCGTGTGACATGACATGACGACATACCTGGAGCAATCGTAGGTTTAGAATTCACTACATGAAGCACCTATCCATATGTACCACAGTTCTGTTAACAGCAAACTGTTTTATTGAACATTGCAGTCTTCTGGGATGTTCTGCTATGTAGTATGGTAGATATGTGGTGACATTAGCTGGATGTTCAGGATGGAAGTCTTCTACAGAGAAGACTGAAGTGGCAAGTCCTTCAAAAATGTTGGTACTTACTAATCATGCTACATAGTGTCACAATCCAGTAGGCTATAATCTTCATATTCATTTCAATCTCACTTGACAGTTTATTGTTATTTTAATTTCTGCACAGTAAAACTGCATGGAGGATGGTACTTTTGATACATCCTATATACATTGCAAACATTCCTTCATTTTATTGCATCACATGAAAATTTTAAGGGCCTGCTGTTCCTAATGGCACATTAACATTTGGATATTTAAAAATTGGCCAAACTTGTCAGAGCATTCAACTTTAGGCATGGTAAGGATTTATTTAAAGTGATTTGTTACATGTAAGTAAACAAATGTCTTTGATTACCTCATCAGTAGCAGTGTGTACAGCTGACTGTATTCAGATCTGCTTTCCCAAACAGCTGTGTTGCACTGTTCTGTTGAATTTTTATCTCATCATTGTTTGCTGTTAATATCTTGAAATTCAAGTATAGCTTTGCAGAGTCTGAGATAGTTTATAACATTTCAGTGAAGCCCAAACAAATGTACTTGCAGGAAAGTCCGTAAGCATTTTTATACAACTTTGAACTGACTTCTAAACTGTTGGATTTGAAGTTCTCACAGCAATGATTGTGAAGAGTACAGACTTCTGGGTCATAATGCTGTGTGGCTTGGAAAATTTCAGTGTTTTGGAGGAAATACATTCATGCAACACATCAGGCTTTTTCTGAACAACATGTCGTTACAACCCAGATAATCATAATGTAACTAATTCGCTTAGTGGGGGGTGGGGTCCAACTGGGTCCACTCGGCATGGCGGCCACTGATTGGCCTATTGTAGCCTGCCCTGGGTGATTATGATAATGGAGAATTTGGTGGAATGAAGATTGGCAGGGGAAACCGAAATACTCGGAGAAAACCCGCCCCAGCGCCACTTTGTCCACCACTTGACCAGACCCTGGATCAAACCCGGGCCACCGCGGTGGGAAGCCAGCAACTAACGGCTTGAACTATGGTGCGGCCTTTTAATGCAACTAAACATTTACATGTTTTTAAAAATAAAATAAGAAAAATATGCTGGATTTGCATTCAGTGGATAGGTTTTTTGACATATTATGGCAAATGTAAATTAAATGGGTGGAGAATTCAGCATTGTTACTACAAACTAAGTGTTATACGGGCTGCTCCTACAAACTGCTTGGTTTAAAGTGCATGAAAGTCTTAAGGCAGCATATCCCTGTTTCAGTATCAAATATAGTAATTGTAGCACCTTTTCCTCCCATTGTCTTATACATATCAGTTACAGACACTGAATGACAAATGAAGAGTGTAGACAGTGAGTAACAAAGGATGTGGCTAATTAGTCCTTAAAATTTAGTGTGAGATCCAGAATTAATGACACATGAAAGAATTTTGTGATTAGTGGCTCACTGATTCCAAATTAAGTGAATGTTTGATAAGATTTTATTTTCTTTAAGGTGAGGCATAGTTTCCCCTGCCAATCTTCATTCCACCAATTGCTCCACAATCACCCTCACCTGTCATCTGGGGCTGGTACAATAGGCCAGAAGTGGCCGCAGTACAAGGGACTTAGTCCCACCCCACTAGCAATAAAAGAAAAATAAAGAAAGAAAAAATGTGAGGCATAAACTGGAAAAAGCATTACATAAAGGATTTGGACACTTCAGCTGTTACTTCAAAGACGTCTTAAGTGAAATAGTTAAAACTAGTGATAATTTACACTTAACAAACTACAGGTGGTGATTTTAGCTTCAGGGCAAAACTTTTGATCTTGAAAAATGAATGTTACTCATTTATGAGCATATAGAAGCATGAATAAAAAAAATCTTCTTTTTACTTACTATGAGTTCACAGCAATTGCTTCAGAAGAATCAGAAGCATGTGCAGTTAAACATTGGGAAAATATCCTTACACATTGTTCTTCAAAAAGATAGTGAAAAGAAAATGCATGACAGTATCCTTTTTTTTTTTCATTATGGGTAACCAGGGATCCACAATTGAGAATTATAACTTGATCCATTCTCCAAGTTTTTAGATCTTTGAAGTCCATTCAATACCTGACTTGGTAAACTGTATGGGATTGAACACCAGAGTGCTCTGTCACTGTCCTTGTGACAGTGAACTGTTGCAAGGATGATGTACTGAAGTCAGTTCTAAGGTAAACTTCTTTTATGTATGTCTTGTATGCTTCATTAGAAGGTACCATGAACCTAAGGATATGCTGTTGATTTTAAATCTGGAAGTTTGAAACGATTACAACTTTCAGTTTGTTTGTATAACAGAGTAACATATATATGCAAAGTAAAGTGAGGTGGTGCTGTCAGGAATGTTTTCTTTTATTTGACATTAATATTATATTAGCATCAGAAGTTCATCAGTTGGGCTTAGTGAATTTTAACATCACTTCAGTATTACAGTGGCATGTGCTTTCTCTGTGTTTTTTATATTACCATGAGACAGTATGAATTTTTGTATTTGTGAATGGAGAGATAATGGATATTTTATGATTTGAACCTAATATTAAAAACTGGAGCATAAACATAAATAATTATGTTGATGGGAGGACATATATCATTCCCAAAAACAAGTGCGAGATAATGTTTGCTTAGTGCAGACATGTGTTGTCAGATTCTTAACCTCAGATTAACATGTTTTTTTATAAAATGACTGTGTTGTATGTGTGAAATGATGTAGGTGTCCATTATTAACATTATTAAATCTGTTACTGTTTCTCATTGCTGACAGTAATACTTCTTATACATTTGTCTTCAGTATTGAAGATATGTTAAAATAATATTTTCTTACCGCATGTGTTCATATGCTTCTGTTTTGAATTCAAAATAAATGTTCAGTCACTACAAACAAACCAGTAAATACTGTTTCCGTTTCCTGATCATATTACCCGAATCTAGTGTTACAGGGAGGGAATGGAGCATGAGGAGGAGTAGAATGAACTTAATATTGACAGTGAGTTACACCACTGTTTCTCAGATTGTGGGGTCACATCCTCCTCTAAGGAGGGATTATGGATTTGTCACTAGTTATTTAAAATACAGGTGTACCAACGGACAGTTTGGGGAAGTCAGTAAGTAAGGGTATCCCTGTAGCGGGCAGTGGAGGCCCATAGGGTTGTGAGATGTTGAGGTTCCCACATTTTCCAGCCATCAGCTCATAGATGGCGGTAAGGTTGTCAACCCCATGCGCCAGCCGCTCTTTGCCCCCAAGAACATTGTAAGAATATTCCTGGTACTCATTTCTGTTAGAGGCTGAGTCGACCCCAGGGCCATATTGTGGCTGGAAGGATCAGATAAATTGAAAAAAAAAAAAGTTCAGTGACCTCATGAGGATTCGATCTTGTGACCTTCCAGCTTGTAGCATAGTGCCTCAACCAACTACGCTACCGCGTGCCCCTTTTTAATATAGGTATTTAGGAAAATGTATCTGCGGCCAGCAAAATATTTCACAATGTTTTTGTGACTGTACAGGAACATTTTATAGCGTACTACAGTTGTAGTGAGTCTGTAAAGTTATTTGAGTTCCTGTTGTCACAGTGCAACTTGATAGGGACCTCTGCCAATGTGCTAAGAAAATAATTTTCACTTCGCACATAATTTGAAGCTATAGATTAGAAGTTAAGTAGTCATTAAAGGAGAACCACATCTCATTTTTGTTTCAGAGATTTAAGTGACAGTACTGGAACTGAAAAGCATGTAATTTGAGGAACAAATGGGCAGGTAGAGAAAATTACAAACTGAGGGGTTTCATAACTTATATTCCTTTAACTGTTACTGTTAGGGGGGTTTACAATAAAGTGAAGTAAGTAATACAAGTTGTAGGTTACAAGTAATCGTGCAAAAACCACTTTGGTCTTAAGAAAACAGGATTGAACTTGTTGACATGGACTTTTTGGCATTCCTCGAGAGCTGAAAGTAGACCCCGTGCCTTTATGTTTGCGTTAGTAACTTTGTTGCACATTGTGGATCACTGTGTTGACTCCTTTTCAACATCGTACCCTTTATGGTAAAAGGATATTTCAAAGCAAATTCACCTGTTTAGGGCAAGAAAAGGCTTTTGTTTTTGGTTTCACTATAAAATAGATTCTGATCACACTTTTCTTGTGGAGTGTGCTTAATCCATGGTAAGCTAATTTATATAGTTAAATCATAAAATTCAGAAGTTAATTGATGATCTTGTCACAGTGTCTTAACATTTTCAACAGGAGATGGAACATACCACTTCAAGATGCTGGTGCCAGGTGTGGCAGCGGGGGCTATCATTGGGAAAGGTGGTGATACTATAGCACAGCTTCAGAAGGATACCGGTGCTCGTGTAAAAATGTCTAAAGCTAATGATTTTTATCCAGGTAATTTGTATTTGGTGAAGCATACTACTCAAGTCGAAAGATATACAATTGTGTAAGGTGACATATGCATTTTAAAGTTTGGTTTTACTTCCATAGGTACATCTGAGCGGGTCTGTCTGATAACTGGAAATGTGGGTGGTATAATGGCAGTTTTGATATTCATCATGGAGAAAATCCGGGAGAAACCAGACATGAATGCAAAACAAGCAATAGACTTTGACAATAAAACTTCAGCTGAACGAGATAAACAAGTAGGTTTCATATGTTAATGTATATTTTGTATGTTGATGATAATTGTAATGCATTTTTGTGGGCTGGCAACTTTTTATGTTTTTATTAAATCTCACCAAGAGCTAGATTCCTTATTGTTACGTTCTGTATTTATTATTCATGTGCAGAATATGTAAGTGTAGGGTGACACACAAAATTTAACACAAAAGTATGTAGTAATTAAAGTTACATCAGTAAATTTTTAGTTCACGTCATGTACAAAAGAAGTCAGTGTAAGAAATATATGTATTCTTAAAGTGTGACATTACTGTTCAAGCAGAATACTGCATTGGAATAACATCCCTGCTTCATGGACCTAGGTTCAGATCTCAGCCCAGAGATAAGATCTCCAGAGATTTTTCCAGGTTCTTCGCGGTCCCTCCAGGCAGATGTCTTCTACATCCTTTCCAATTCATTATTCACTAGTTATCCTATCGTTCAATGCTATGAAGTCTGAGCTGTTGACATTATTGTTAAATAAACTGTGAATATGTAAATACACTACTGTTCGCATTGTTCACAGAATGGCCCCCACAAGGAGTCCTTGATATCATAAACACAAAAAATCACCCCATAACTAAATCCTAAACACTGACATAATAATCAGTAATAAAAGTAGAGGTGGTCAAATTGTGTGCTGTGGGGGGGGGATGTAACTCCAAACGTATGTTGCATTCAAGGAGTTTCCAAACAAATTCATGAGACACTAACCTCAGTCTTTTTTCTTCAGTATATCCATACAAATGCTAGAATACCCCAGAATAAAGCTTGAACATGTCTAGTCTTCATTAATTAATGAATATCCTATCCAAGTTTTATTTCAAAACTCAGGACATTCCCTTCCAGTTCATTGCCAGGGAATGGCAGTTTTAATGAGGTGGGCCAGTCATGTTGCAGACAGTTCCCTCAAATCATGTAACTCTTATGTTTACTCAAGTAAGCTATCACAAAATGTTTCCCATTTAACGTGCTTCCTTAATGAAAAATAATAGGCTAAAGAGATCACAATGGTGTATGTCCTCCCATTTCAACTTCAGAACCACTCAACAAGTTTTACAAAACTTGGTGTGAACATTACGCAACTGGAGGCCACTATGCCAAACGTTTTTAAATTTCCTGTAATTAGTAGTAATAACATGGGCACACAAACTTGTGACCTGGCAGCAACACTAGTGCTACTAACTTTAAGATCTTCAAATTATGTACCATGATAGACCTTGAAAAAACATGCAGCTTTTGTTGACATAACATTTTTGTGGCATGTAAAGTAAGAACATGATGGCAGTGAAAACACAGTCTTTAGTTTTCACTGGTGAAAACTAATGAAATATTGGGACTAGATGTGTGAAATTTGGTATGGAAATAATCATAAACATAGCTACACATCATGTAGTTACACAGTGATGGTGCAAAACCTTGATGCTATAGCTTACAAATTTAACATAACTGTGTACAGAATTTGTACCCAAGTTATTCTGCAAAATTATATAAAATGATGATGATGACAACAACGATCATAACAGACAAATAGGACTAGAACTCTATGGAACACAAAAGCAGGCTTCAAGAGTTATGCATCAGAACTCCTTGCCATTTTCTATATTTTAATTGTGTCCTTCAGTCCAGAAGGCCATTTTATTTGAATTAATTTAAAGCAGATGACCAGTGTTGGTTGAAACCTATAGTGTCACATTTTGTTTGTCTGCTTTTAAAAACCTCCTTCAGAAATGAAACCCTGAACATGGTTTTGCCAGAAGACAAGACTCCATACAAGAAATGTTGATCGTTAAAAGTTTCCAGTTGTTCATGACTGGATGAACACTGTAATGATGGAATTTTAATGTATAACATTCTTTTATGTATGTATTTTTGTATAGATAGCTCTCAATAAATCTGACTCATTGTTCAAGAGAAATACTGTGCTGGTGAAACAAGTATATATATACATTAACAGACTTAATTTTGTGACAATATTTACTGTAACATGTAATCTACATAAAACAGTAAAAAAAAAATGGGAGTTTATACAAAGTGACGTCTTGTGCAGGTTAAAATTCTGGTCCCTAACAGCACAGCGGGAATGATTATTGGAAAGGGTGGCAACTACATAAAGCAAATAAAGGAGGAGAGTGGCTCATATGTTCAGATCTCACAAAAAGCGAAAGACCAGACTCTGCAAGAGAGATGCATCACTGTTATTGGTAAGTTGTATGGATCTGACTTACTGTCAGTGATGTTTGTGAATTTCATGTCAAGTGAAGTACACAGACAAACTAGACTGCAAGACCAGAATTTGCATTGAAGAGTAAATTGCAGACAAGCCATCTAGATGAAAAATTTGCATGAAGTGTTCACATGGTTGAGAGCAGATAAATTAGACATATGAGTATCCTCATACTCATGGAAAGAAAATTATATATGCAGTTGTGTGAAATGAAGTGAGAGCATATGACAGGATATTTCTAATGCAGGGGAACTGCATGTAAGTTAAAAACGTTGAAAATAAGTCATGGTGTCAGCAATGACAACTCATGTGGTGAGCTGCAAAATTATTTAAATAATTGAAACGTTGCTGTATGATGTATTACAAATGAAATATTTTCTTGAAGTCTACCCAAATTTTAAAAAATCTAGCCCACTTTAAAACGATGTATGGTGTGTGGTACCCCTGAATGCAAGGGAGTTTAACTGCTCTGTTTGATTCAGATACATTTAATTCTGACACATGTAAGGCAGATACTGCATGAGGACCACTGGTTTTCACTCTGATGTTGCTGCTACAGCATTATCACCACAGTGATCACACACAGCAGAAAGGCTCTCTCCTAACAAAGCTGTGAAATAGCCGTCCTGTTTATGGCATATGGTGACATCATACAGCAGTTCTATCTTATTTGAATACTTTTACAAGTGCTTAAATAGAACCGTAAATTACGCTTTGAGATCCATGATTGCAAACTGCAGGAAGCTGGAGGTCTTCATTCAGTATTAATATATCCAGAGATGTTGTGACTCACAGAAATTATGAATAAATTAGATAGCATAGGAAAAAAGTACTTACTGCAGAAGGGCCATGGACATACTTATAACATCTTAATACTGCACTGATCTTCACCATTAATCCTTTAAAGACTAAATTTCTTCTACATAATATATAAAAATTCAGTTTGTGCCTCACAGGAAACACATATCTTTGCTGCAAAGACCAACCAGTTAACACTGTCCAGAGAAAGTCGTGAGAACCATTCAAAACATGCAAATAAACAATTTGGAAAGAATGCAGTTTCAGTATGTTAGAGCCATGATAGCTCTTTCAGTATACTGAAGGGATATTGGCTGGATGGCTGGAGTTCGATCCCCAGTGGGGACAAGAGATTGTTCTCTACTGCACAATCCAGGCTGGATCTGGAGCTCAGCAGTCTCCTATCCAGTGCATATGCAAGCTCTTTCCTGTACTAAAGCATCAAGGGTGTGAAGCTGACCCACTTACCTCCAGCTAGTGCCAAGGTCAAAAAACAAAGACAACTTTACTTTTACCTTATAAAGGAGTAGTACATACAGACCAAAATGAAAAATTACACTTAAGTAAAATAAGTATAGCTATCTCTGTAACAGGCTGTGAAGGCCCATAGGGTTGTGAGACGTTGAGGGTCCCACATTATCTAGACCAGGCATGTCCAACATGTCGATAGCGGGACGATTTTTGGTTGATCTCATAGGCCTATAAGGAAATTATATGTGAAAAGCATGTAAATTCACTTGTAATGTGATTATATTCAGATTTTGAAGGGAAAATATGTGTTAAAGTAGTCTGTACTTTCAATGTATGTTGCTTTTACAAAAAACATCATGTGTCGTGTTATTTTTACCAATATTTTTGCTTAAAGCGAGGTACGACAATAGGAGGGGGTGGTAGATCACTGCAGTTTTGACACTAAAAAGTCAATCACAACCTGTCTGAAGTTGGACATGCCTGATCTAGACAGTCAGCTCAAAGATGGCGGCAAGGTTGTCAGCCTTACATGCCAGCCGCGCTTTACTCCCCAGGAAAATTATTTAATTAATTCCTGGTACTCATTTCTGTTAGAGGCTGAGTCAACCCCAGGGCCATAGTGCAGCTGGAAGGATTAGGTTAATTGAAAAAAATCCAATGACCTCATTGGGACTTGAACCCACGATGTTCCAGCTTGTAGCATAGTGCCTCAGCCAACTACACTACCTCATACAAAAATAAAGTAAAAATTTAGGGACACACTAATTTATATGGAATATGACTGGTCCTATAGAGATGCACTTAACTGTAACCTCCCCAGCCCCAAAATTTGGGTCACTGTAATTGAAGAATAACAGAGCCATCTGTTTTCATGTATCATCATTTTAGGATTTTATGTGGATGGGTTTTCAGAATTCTATGTTTGTGATATTGACAATGTTGTATTGCATAATGACTGCTTCCATGGCAGGTGAAATGGAGTGCAACAAGAGAGCTTGCCTCATGATCCTGACTAAGGTGGTGGAAGATCCACAGAGTGGGAGTTGTTTGAATGTAAGTTATGCTGACGTGTCTGGTCCAGTTGCTAATTACAATCCTACTGGATCTCCATATGCTAATCATACTGGTCAGCATACACCAGTACAGGCTGGAAGTTTCAATTCATCTCCAAGCTTGAGTTCATCCATCACTGCAGGTAAGTTTGAACTTCAAACATTACTGACTTCTTTGTCTTCCAGATTTTCACAGCTTATCTAGAGAATTCATCCTTCACATTTACTGACCTGAGACTGACCTAATCTTCATTTAGTTAAAAGTAAAGTGACACTTTCAGCTGTGCTTCATTCCATCTGACATTTGTCCACTTTGCCAGTTGTTTTCTTTCTTAATAATGTTCACCGTGTAAATGTTACTTCCAGTTGGTGGGATGCTGCTTAATGGAGGTCCTGCCAGTCTGAATTTGAGTTTGAATCTGGGTAGCCCATCAGCTGGACCAGTTAGTGCTTCAGTCACTGCACAGCTTCTGGATCACATAAAGGTTACATTGAGGAACAGTGGGTATTCAGACCAAGCAACTAGTGAAATCACATCTGCTATGGGTATACTTGCACAGTATGGGATTCTTGGTATGGGACTTGGATTGGCTGGAACAGGAGTGTCATCAAGCAGTTCAAGCAGCCATGCCCTTGTGCCAAGCAGCAACTATTTAGGAGTCAGTCCCATGGATTCCACACCTTCTCAAACAGCAAATGGGGTTGGAAATAACGGCGGTGTATTTGGTCCAATTGGCACAGTGTCTTCAATTGGTACTTCAACTCCAACATCTCGTGGAGGTACGATGGACCGGTTCAGCGAGGGTGGTGCATCCAGTGGTCCATTTGATCCTTTCAGACATCAGTCAAGTCCTACGAACCTTGGCTCACCCCTTTCTCTCAACAATAACTCTTTTGGCCTAGGGACTGGTCAGTCCCTCTGTAAAAGTCCCACTCCTTCAGACCTGAAAGGTGACCAAAACAAAGTTGATCTGGAAATTGCAGAAAATATTGTTGGTGCAATTCTTGGTCCTGGTGGTAGATCTCTTGTAGAAATTCAGCATTTCAGTGGAGCAAACATTCAAATATCAAAGAAGGGCACATTTGCTCCTGGTACTCGTAATCGCATTGTTTCTATAGCAGGCTCACCCAATGCTATCACTACTGCACAGTATCTCATTGAGCAGAGGATTAGCGAGGAAGAAGCCAAACGAGCCAGACATAATGCTCTGGGTATCCTACAGTAAAATAGGTAATTAACACCACATGTGCATTTATTATCCACTTCATCTGTTAACATGTATTTTTTAATGGTTGTTTATCTCATCTGATCTTTGTTGCCACAATTGACTTACCATTAATATTTGCACTAACTGAATCATCACATCAGTCATTGAAGACAAGTAGTATCATCTAATTTGTGGGATGAATTTCCACAGCATCTTTACTGAATCACCTGTTAAAAGTTGTCCTTGTGGCCAATATACGTCCTGAACATTGAATCATTCATTCTAGATCAGTAATAAGTCCTGTATTTGTTATCATACTCCAGCAAACATCATGACATACCTCTAAATGTTGTTACAAAAGAAACTTGACATTAATCATGTGTATTGTAAATACTTCTGATGCAGCATATATCATCACATTTCTATAGCTGGTTTTTCCATGGAATCTGCATTGATTGAATACTTGTATGCTTCATTATATATATACATACATATACATATATTTTCCTGGATTTATTTCATAAGTCCCTAAATGTATAATTTCTAATGATCTGTCAACATGTTAATGATGCTGAAGATGAGTTGGAAGTTCTGATCTTTTTGGAACTGGGCTGTATTACATGTACTTGGCTGTTACATAATATATATATGTACAAAGATTGTACTTCATTGTAGTTGAAATGCATTTTTTTTTTTAAATTTTGATTGGTGATCTTAAAATATTTCATGTGTGATTTATAGTGAAGACTCTTGAGGTATATGAAACTGATGAGCATAAATTATCTTTAACAATAAATTTCCTTGGACATTTTCATTGTATAAATGAAGAACGTCCAAAGAGAGCTGCCTTTTACCCATAGTACATAACTTATATTTGTTCTGTGATAATAACAGCCTGTTCACTGTTAGGTGTAAATTTATATCCCTCTACCCCACTCACTGTCATCCAAGTTGGTTGTTGTGTGATTCTTTTTTCCTTTTTATTTCTCTCTCTTACTAGTCTTTCATAACAATCTAATGAATGGTCACATTTCTGCATAGGGGGTTGGGTTTCATTCTTTCCTTTGTGTAGTCCACTAGATGTCATACCTTTCAAGTCCATACAATTATGGTGATGGGAAGCGAGTGTCTTGCTTCTGTCAGAAAAATGGCGTCCATTTAGCACTTTTGAAAGTAAATTTTGTCATATTCATGTATATAAATAAGATACATTCATTGGTGAAATGTGATATTGTTGTACAGAAACATTCTCATTACCAAGTTACCATGTACACTTTTTGTTGCCTTTGTAATCATATATCATTGTACAATATATTATTTGCAAAATGACTGGAAGTATATTGAAGGTGACGGGTATACCAAGGATTGTTGTGTGGAGAGAGAAGTTATCGCCTATTAAAGGTTTTCAGAGCTATAAGTGATTTTTAATTGTATTGTCAAAGCCTTTTCTGAAAAGAAAAGTAAGTCTGAATGTCAATACATTGGATGTTATTCTGTGTCATTGTGGTGTTGCAGCAAAAAAAGAAAAGTTACTATATAAATTTGATGTTTGTAATGAAATAATAGCATGTTCCTGTAAGTTTGTGCAGTGCAATTATTATTGAGAGAAATTCCTGTATGCCTGGGCATGTAGGTTCATTGGTACATCTCGATTTGACATGATGGGTTAAGTTCCACTGTCTGTGTTTTCATGTTGTCCACAGGTGGCAATGTGATTGTGTATATGTTAATATTTCAAGCCAACTCAAATTGAGTTAAAAATTGTTGTACCTAGAACATAATACAGATATTTCTTCATTGTGAATTGCCATTAAACTCATTAAAGTTAAGTTGTATTCCTACATTAATTTGAGTCATCAGTGCCATATACAGTATGTAGACCACGTGTCACTGAGGGTTGTAGAGCCTAATCCTTCAAATGGGGAGAAATCCCTGATGGCAGCCTTATTAAAATGTTCCATTGTATGCAAAACTACTGAGACATATGCATAGAGAGATATGTCATTCATTTTTGTGTAATTGTGGTAGAACTAGCTGAGTTTACAAACATTACTTCAGTGTTGCTGTCATTTCTTTGAGCAGCACAAAAGAAACTCTTGTTTTAATTTCTTTTCTCCAGTTGTAGTTTAGATCATTCACTTTCAGTACATTTATAAGAATTTTTTAAAATATTCTCATAGTTAATATTCTAAATATAGAGCCTATACATTTTTATGTCTTTCTGCTCTTCCACTAAGGGAAAAGACATCTAAAAATCTTTAAATGACATATTTTGAAGCTTTCTTCCTCTTAAAATTTTAAATAAAAAAGGTTTACAGTGGGTGAGCAAATAAGACAAAAGCTACTAGACAGTTTCATTCAATCAAAATGTAGTAGCAAATCATGGTTCATTCTCAATAAATCCACAGCATAATGAACTGCATATTTCATTAAGCACAACCTAACACTTCCTCTCAAATAGTAATGCCTGGCAAATGCAAATTCATTTCACCTAAATGACACCTCTTTACAGTTACCATGAGACACACTCTTATAAAGTGGTTAAAAACAAATCAGAGCAAAAAAAATCCTAGCAAAGTAAACATTCTAAAAATATATGTCTAATAACTACACAATATTTAATATTTTACTGATTCTACATGTAGTTAACCTAATGTCTAGGCCATGATAATTCCTTGACTTCTGTATCTGTATACATTTACTTATGGACGATAGTTCACAAATGAAATTAAGACAGGCAGGCTTCACAGAATATTAACATTCAAATAAAAATAATTTGAGCAAATTCATTGAAAATCAGCTAAAAAAGGAAGCAGCACCTACTGCCATGAAACAATGACTACTGTAGCTTTTATATCACTTATGCACCAAATTCTTAAAAACAGCCATCTGAAATGTATGGAATTTCCAACAACTAAGAAGCTTTCGCAGATTTCATCTCAAGCACACTATACCACTAATAAAAAAATAAATGAACAGTCTTTGCTAAATGTCAGTATTAGGTGGAAACAGGTTGCAACAATAAAAAGAACAAAATACCACCTAATTTAGTAATTAAATCACAATGGAATATATACAGCACACATGATTAGTAAATGGTTATCTTAGAATATATAATTATATGGACATGACTTGCACAAAAGCTTGTAATCTTAATTTATGGAAGCTGCAATTTGGTAATGTCCACTCACTCTTCTGACTCACTCACTGACACATAACGGCAACATTTGTCAAGTTCAAATCCATCTGGAGTATCTTGATTCCTGTAAGAGATTTCTTCTAATACAAGAAGATTCATTCATTCCTTAAATATTGGTCAGGGCTGCCACTGGATTCAGCAAACATCCTAGTACACTAGTACTAATAAATGTAATAAAACTATCACTTAAAATGTTATGATGAAACCCCTGTTTCACAGTGAATTTGACTTCAAGTCAGTAATCAGTGACTAATTTTCTCCTTTTAATATTTTTCTCAGTTTAGTGTTCAAATCCACTGCTCCCCAAAAAATCTTAAATGGGGGTTTTCACTATAATTCAAAACCTTAAAACACTAAAATGAATACTGAACTGGGATTGACAGATAACCCAATTTATGAAAGGTGCCTAGAAGAAGATGAATCAGCCACACACATCTTACATGATTGTGAGGCCATAGCTCATTTAAAATGTTGTCACCTGGGCCAGTTCTTTATGGAACCAAGTGACTATTATGATGCCCCCATAAATAAAGTCCTACATTTCATTTGAAGTTTAGGATTAATAAAGGGGTAATCAAAGAGGAGGCACAACAGATAACTGAATGTCGTGGTGCATGGGTCGGATTTCATGGCCCACACCTTATACATACAAAATTAATACTGAGAATTTCAATTTAATTCTACATAAGGATCTTCAAGACTTTGTCAGATTATGTAATCTGTACTTCCACTGTATTATGCCTCCAAATACAGTTCATTTCAAGTATGAAAAGTTCGCAAATTTTGAGACAAATATGTAATACAGACTTGTTCACAAATGAAATATTAATGTCACATCTTAAAAAGACAAAGCATTCCTTACATTATAAATATAAATAATCTTACAGGCAAAACACCTTTGATGAATGTCACAGTTCTTCCTCAGGTAAAAGAGTCTATGATATTTATATTTCTAGATAATTTATAAATGTATTTAGTATTTAATTGACTGTTATATTTGTTGTAGATATGAGGAATTTCTCAGTTTATATCTGGCCAAACTTTCAGGGAACAAAAATGAATTAATGTTATTAGGAAAGACTGTTGTGTATATATGTTAAATATGTAAGGCTATATAAAACATTACATCATTTTTGATGGAGTTTATATAATGTTTCTTGCTTTTGTAAGTGCTAATAAAAATTGATTTTTAAAGACTGTTATTACATTGTTCACAGTCAATTTTTTAGACAGACTGACCCAACCATCCATGCTCAACTGTGCCCATCGCCAGAACTTAGTGCCTTAAAATATCACTACATACAGTTATGAGGGTTCAGTTATTAGTACTGGAGTGTGCTAAGGGCATTCTGTTAACTGGGATAACTCATGTAACTGAAATGTGTCTTGAGTATTAAGATGTGTTTGATATTTGTTCTTTCAACACCTGGCTTTTTCAGCTATCCTTTATTAGGGATGACATGAGTTATTCCACTGGACAAACTTCAGTGTTTCACTCTCACAATGCAATATGATACTCAGGAAATATGAGTGAATTTCCCTCTTACTGGATATACACAAAACTTGATATCAGAGTTACAGACAGCAACTTTTATGAACAGTCACTGCCCAAAAGAAATGAAACTAGTGCCAGAACACTTAAAACTCTCAGACTCAAAGGTTAAATTAGCCCGTGAGAAATAGATTACTTATACCATTGCACAAATTGTTTCTTTAGAGAGCCAATCAGAAATGAGATTTTGTATTTTGTGAACAATGGCTTCAAACTGCAAGTGTGCTGAAGAGAAAATCCACTAACAACTGACCTGTTTCCACCTGTATTTCAAACTTGTTTATGATAGGATATGAAACTTACATGCTCCACATTCTGAATGCAGCATTTAGAAATTCTAATAACTATGCTGTTTCAAATAACTTTAATACCTAATTAAGTGTGAACTCGAAGACTGTGCATTAACATGAGGGCAACCTTGGGCATTATCAAGTACATCTTGCCACTGTGTATGGTCATATTCCATCAATGAAATTAAATAAACAAAGGTGTTCTTTTTTGACAATCCGTCACCTCCCATGTTGTTAAAGCATTTGTCTGTCTCATAACTCAGACAGAACTCCATTTCTACTGGACAGATTGAACTAATTAATTTGAAATGTACTATATTCCATTTGAGGATGGTTAATTAAATTGAAATTTCATAATTAATCTTGATGGATTACTGGCACCCAACTACAAACTTAACTATTCCATTAATTAAGGTCTGAAGGTAGTTCCAGCATTACTGTGGCACTCAAACAAGACATCTGATTTAAGCATAATTAATGGTTGCAATAAAACCATTAAATCGTAAAATTCTCAATATTGCAAAATATACCACTCGGATTGTAACTTCCCCCTCACCCAAGCTGAAACCTGAGATGAAAGGGATGGCCATGGTTGTGTTATGGTTTCCAATTAGTGAGCATTAATTACAAGTTCAGCCGTTACCATATGAAGTGTGTTACTTCATGCAGTACATAACTTTGTCTTTTGAATCTTGACACTTGGGCCAGTCTCATCTAGCAATGTTAAAATATTTATCTCATGTAAGTGTGTTGCAATAGGCTTTTGCATCTTCTGTCTTACTAATAATACTTAATCTTGCTTGATGTATTCAATCACAAATGACCAATACCTGCCAAACGTTCTAGTTTTAAGAGGCAAATTTTTATTTAAAAACTGCAACGAATGCTATCTTTGAGCTCAATTTGTTAACAATTTTGGTGATGATTCACCTCACTTTGAATTTAGTTCTACCTTATTAGTCTGCAGTCTGAACATCCCTAAATTAAACCAAACCAATTTAAATTTAAAATGTGTGTGTGTGTTTCCCTCTATTCAGCAAGCGTAATGAAAATTCCAAAAAGGAATGCTAAATATTCAGACCTAATTAACATACAGCAAACATTTACCAGTACTTCTGTTGCATACTTTTAATCAAGAACTTATTTATAAACTAGGAAGCCCCATCACTACTGATGAACTATCCATACAAAACACAGACACATCAGAGGAACTAAAGTATAAATTGTCATATGCAGCGGCAGCCCTGTATTTTATTTTGTCCAATGTCCTGGCACTAACTACCACATTATTTCATCTCAGGGTTGTTGTTTAATGTAAGATCCATTCTTACACCAGTATCATGAAATTACAGCGAAACCTCAATTTTGCACTTCTGAAGGAGCCACTTAAAATATAAATCAAGGAAAGTGTAAACTCAGAAAAATGTGGGTGTTTTATACCTGTGCCAAACCATTAAACAAAATATATATATATGTTTGAAAACAATAACAATGTGAATTCAAATACACTAACCTACATATCATTTTACTCTTTTAACCAGTAGAACACTCATCTTCCCCCCCCCCCGCAGCTCTGTAACACGTGGCTCAAAAAACTTAATATAGAAAGATATGCCTATTTTGCTATGACAAACTTGAATATGGCAGAAATGTTTCTCAGCGTTCTCTGAAACAAAATTCTGCACATGTGAATAGGGTACATTTCCACTGTCATGACTCAAAAAATGAAGTGCACATTAAGCAAAACCACAGCTTTCAGGACATGTACAATCACCTCCAATTTAACACTTCTTATGGGCATTTGGCCAGAAGCTGATGAAAAGTGTGAAAAATCAAGAAAAACGTAACAAGAGAAAGTGCAAAATTGAAGTGTCACTGCAATAAATCTTTTTCAAAAACTCCCTCATGCAGACTATTATGTAAAAAAAAGTCTACATTCTCTGCCTTTAAAATGAAGTAGTAATTATAATTTAGCAAAACTTGATCAAATATTCATTCCAAAGAATAAGGAATCTTTCAATTCATCTCATAATATGAAATAGCACTGCTAAATGTCAATATCATATTTCAACAATTGGTGTATGTACAAAATTATCAAAATCAAACAGCAACCCTGCACTGCTCTATAAGTTCAGTGACACATTCAGAATTACAAGTACTTAATGCAAATGGAATTAGCAGTATTTTTAACTGCTCAGTGGTGTTGCATCATGGTTTATAAAAGAGGGAAATGTTTTATTTTGTACTTTTGGACAGTCACTTGCTTAGTATTACACCACAGACTAATCTGAAAACACTCTAACATACCTTGGGCACTATGCAATGTTGGTAACATTCTTACCTTCCTAAAAACGATTCTGAACAAGTACTAGGTGTCAAGGATTCTCAAACCAGTGCTCACAACCTTAGCATGAGTTGCAAATGTCATGATAGTTAAAACGAATTTAAAGGCACCATGTAATCCAACCAGTTCTTTAATCAATAAATGATCACATGCTGAATATCTTTCAGCCCTTAGGCCATCTTCAGATTGATAATAAAACTGTAACATTTCCTTTTTTAACTGTTTGAATGCCCCCAAAGTTGGCCTATAGGTTTAAATGTGTTGAGCATATGATCACTTACTGATTAGGAGACTGGTTACATAATATGGTGCCTTCAATGTGAATAGTTCAATGGCAGTAATGACATCCAGACAGTGGAATCCCAATTTAAGGTTTTCACTCAATTGTTCATTTTTGGCATCCCTGCAAAAGCCCCATATACATGATGCATAAATAAGAGTCTTAAATGTTTCTGAATGTAGGGTTTTACTTGCATTTAATGGATGAAAACTCAGTCTCTACATGAAGTCTGTACTGATTTCGTATTTATGCTAAACAGGAGGGCTATATTTTTCCCAACTCTGGTTTCTGCATATTACTTTTCACTCAATGTCAGCATCTGTCATTGGCTGGTCAGCTAGCGAACAATACACATGTGCATATACTGACCTTGAGTAACTAGCAGGTAAGACCCATGCTACATTGCATCTATGGTATATTCTTGGAAGCTGCATTAACAGTTCTGTGCTGCACATTGTTTGCAGTGTATGTATATACCAACCAGTGTTAAAAACTGGTATATCTGCATTTAAATTGCATAACAAATACATATACAGTAAAACTTGGTTATAGCAACATCGGTTTCTGCGACACCTTGTCTATTGCGTCAAATATTCAATGGTACGAACTAATTCCTCATAAAGCAACTGTTTTTATACCTTGCTTAGTACGACATGCACAAATGAATCAACCTCGTATGTAACGTCATTTTCATTTCTGAATTTCTCTGATATCGTGGGAAAGTTTGATGTGTCTGCCCACCCTCACTTTCTCTACTTGCTGACGTGACTGTCCTGGAAGAATACGACCACAGGCTGCAAGAGGACGCGGCAGGTTGTTAACTGCATTCCTTTCCTAGAAGCTTGCCTAACAGGACCTCACATTGTCTACTTACCCTATAGTGTTCCTGCCTAAACCCAGAGAAGTGCAGTAGCGAAAACATGGCAATGAAATGGAAAGTTTTAAGCATTGAAGAGAAAGTTAAAGTGATTCGTGAAATATTGTATGTATTGTCAGTGAAAAGCGCTGTAATATGTCTTTGATATTACACATTTGGGCAATTCCACGTTAATGCTACGTTAGTCTGTACTTAACTACGTATTTCACTAAGAAATGCAACATTTTAACTCGGTTTTGGTAGATTTTTACGTGACTAACATAAGGCTACTGTGGAAGTGCTCATTTGAGTTACGACGACATTCGTTTATAACGACACTATTTTTAGGTCCCTTTGATGACGTTATAACCAAGTTCTACTGTATTTTTTTCTGCATGCGTAATTTCTGTGCATCACTTAGCAACTTTTAAAAGAGAATTAGTAATGGCAAACAAGAGGAAGAACCTGGTGACAGCAAGAAACTGATGTGGTCAGCAAAGTAGAAGCATGGGACACTGCCACCTAAAAGGACACCTTTTCGAACTGGGATTGACAGACAATCCCATTTGTGAAAGGTGCCTGAAAGAAGACGAATCAGCCACACATATTCTATGCGACTGTGAGGCCATAGCGCATTTAAGATTTTGTCACTTGGGCCAGTTCTTTATGGAACCAAGTGACTACTATGACACCATAAGTAAAGCCCTGCAGTTCATTCAAAGTGTAGGATTAATAAGGGGTTAATTAAAGGGGAAGCACGATAGATCATTGTTGGTCGTGGTGCAAGGGCTGGATTGTGGCCCACCCCTCATACATACATACATAAAAGTAGAAGCACATCTGAATGTTCCATACACTGAAATGACAAAATGTCTTTGGACTCAATCCATGTCAAGGAAAATTATGCTTTCAAAAGAGAAAATCACAGATGCAGGATTTAATGTGGGGCAGAGACCAAAAATTGAAAGAACATGAATCTAGGAGCTTAGAATGAATTGAAAAAGATACTGCTGGAATGTTTCTAACAAACATGTTCTTTATTCTTATTTGTTCCTTAATGACCTTTGTCATGTATATTTCTTTATTCTTTTATTAGATTGAAGGAAATATTTGGTGTGAATACTGAAGCATAATTTTCTGCTCAAATTTCACATAACCCCCATTTAAGAAACTTCTCGATTTAAGAGACAAAAATCCCATCCCAAAGGCATACCTTAACTGGGGGTCCACTGTCTTTACTTTCTCATATATCTTCATGGCATAGCACTTAATTAGTTAATACTGAACAGACAATTTAACTCCTTAGTAATAACACAATACAGCAGAATGTCTAAACATAACAAACACTAGCACTGTGATGTCTTTCAACACACAATAAATTGTGGTACAATTTAAGAAAAGAGATGTTACAATAAAACTTAATCAGAGAGCAATCCCCTTCATGAAAGAGTTGTGAGACTCCAACAGTTTGAGAAACCTTGCTGTATGGAAGTCCACTCAACAATGTTCTCACATATTTGTTAGCTGTGAAGCCCTTTACTTTGTGGCTTCAGGAGGGCAATCTGGTTGATTAGACGGATGGGCTGCACGGAATGCCGGGTGGTTTTCAAGCTCACGATCAATCCTCAAGATGATAGGGAAAGGTCGTAAGTCCACGTGGAACCTATGAACAAATAATCAGATAAAGCATCATACACAGAAGTTAGATGATACACCAACAAAAAACAATGTCCATGGCTTACCTTCGAGCATTGAACACTTGTGGAATGAGGCAGCAGTCAGCAATTGATATTTCATCACCAACACAGTATTTTCCAGCACATGCAGATAACAGTTTCTCCACCGCTGGACAGAAAATAAATACTCCTTAATGCATCAAATTAATGTTGTGCTTTTAGTGTATACCAAGTACCTAGTAAGCTTATAACAAAACCACTTCTCAAAAGCAAGACACTGAGTTTGACACAATGTACTGAAGGGCCAAATTAGGCATTAATGAGAAACATGACCATCTTAAACACTTATTATGTGAAACTTTCATGCAAATTTGAAAATCATTCAGAAATGTTCATATCATCAATAAACCTGATGTTTTAACATTCTATAGAGATAATGTGTGGTAATTTTCGAATAAATCCCATATTCAAATCAATCAGAAACATTTATGATCAAAGTGTATGGAATCAGCTGTCTACACTAATCTCTAATTAGCTCCTCATCCATCTTACAGTATTCAAAATCCACAATCAAAAATGTATTAATGTCATTCCTCTTCAGCTTGCCTTCAATTAGCATCTAATACAATTCTTTTTCCTTATAATGTACACATAGGAATATAAAATTCATGGCCAACAGGTACATCTGTATACCCACGTCACAACACACTTACTGGCATTGCCAGAATCTCTTCAAAGTGGACCCTCTGTGTGATCACAGAAAGTTCCAACACCACCTTACAACATATGAGGAGCTACAGACAAAGCGACAGGCATCATTTTCACTTTATGAAACCCAGGTGTGCAGGAAGTGTAAAGTTGTCAAATCTCAAGCTTGATTTTGTCAGCCCACAGTACTTTCTCACACATATATTACATATATGAGAAAATAAATAGGAGGGAGACAGCTTATTTTACAAAGACCTATTACCACATGCAATTTCAGGATCCCACACTAAGTGACACAACAGTCACTGGCTCAAAATATGAAAGAAGGGGAAAATGAACAAACATAATGTGATCTCATAAGCCTAATTCTTATTTTTAAGAAAGGAAAGCATGCTATAAACTGCAACATTTCTCCATCAGATTTAATAATAACAAACAATTAAAAAAAGAACACTGGCAGACTGCATTAAGAGGTTGTGACATCCGACTTGTCTACAACTGCATAAATTTAAAATTGTGGGAACTTTTACTGCTCACATGACAACCTACCTCGAAAACCTCTGTTGATCCAGTGTTGTGCCCATTCTTTTTTCTTCTCCTCACCAACATATATAAGAACAATAAGGTTCTGCAAAGGCTGAATTCCAGATGCAATCACTTCACAAATTTCTCGGACCTAGAGAAATAAAAATATTAGTATGCTCCTTTTGCTATTAGATGTAAAGCACGCCAGGAACTTCACCAACAGAGTGTTCCCTAGGGGGGGAACACTGAACAAGGACGATGTATTTACTCCAGTAATTTTCCCAAAGAAATCAAACCCAGGACCTCCTGGATATGAAGCTGAGTGCCAAGCAATCAGCTACAATATTCAGTCGCTGATCTAAGACACACAGCATGCTGCAAACATCACAACAGCAACAAACAAGGATGTGTTATTCCTGTAGTAATTTTCCCAAAGAAACAGAACCAAGGAATTCCAGGATATGAAGCAAGGGCACTGCACACTCAGCCATCATATTCATTCCATGAAAGGTTCAGATGTCCTTCTTTATATCTGTCTCAATTCTACAGGACATTAAATTAGTTAGAAGACTATGACAAGCATGGAGGAGGCTCTAACCTAAGAACAACCCACCCTGGTGAAGTCGCAACACATTAACATCAATTAATGAGGCTAATGAAACTGAAATTATTCATACCTTAGCTCTCTTGTGAACATCTTGTGGCATGAGGGGTCTAGAAGGCCTAGTTTCTTCAAGATAATGCATAATACTGAGCTGAAAGGATTACATAATATACAATTAAAGCCATGCAATATATACACAGAAACTCTGAAATTATAAGCCATCCAGTGTAAACAAGTTTAATATAAATAATTATTTATATGGCCTCACATGTTGCAGTACTTCGGATACAGCTTTAGAGGCTTTCCAGTAAAAGAAAGTTGTTTTACAACTGCTGTAGATCTTAATACAATCACAACCTATACAGTCATAAATTATAAAATAGGTTAAAGTCGTCGATGTTCAACTTTTATGTTGCTGCTTGTTAATATGTATGGCCATATAAAACTGAATTATTTATATTAAAATTGTTTGCACTGTATTGTCATTTCAAAGTTAATTTAAGTGTACACGCAAATATGTCTCATGTTACAATATACATAAAACTTTATGGAACCTAGAAATATCCTAGATCTTTCATAAACGTGTATGAAACTCCATATTCTGAAACAGGAGCACTGCAGGCATGGTCATTCACACTGAATGCACATTCTTCATTGGCCGTATAGAGAAACATAACCATGAGCAAAGCATAGGTATCTTAAATAGTATTCTAGCAACTAACTGTTGCAGCCACCATAAAATGCATTTTCCTGCCTTCTTCATAGAATCTGGACGTAAATCACAATCCTGATGCCACAACATGAAAACTGAACTTTACTCTTTTCTGTGTTCTGTAGAGGTTAGTCCCATCTTGATATAGGAATCCTTATCACACCCCCCAAAAAAAGAAAAAAGACCCTCTTGCACAAAACCCTGTACTTTCAAATGAGGTAAAAATCAGATTTTGGAAGCTCTTATGCTCAAACCCAAGAATAAGTGAGACTACTTAAGAATAACTATCCAATGCATATGAAATCCAGAAATGAACTGTCCAAGAATTTTCTCGGCTACAATTACATACATAACAAAATCTCAGTACAGGAAGCTCAAGATGAAACAATACAAGCATCCACATATAGGATTACTACTGTAACAACACTTCATGGGTATGCCAGTATTCAGCAAGTCATGTGCACTGAAACGAGCATCTAAAAGTAAAATGTAAGTAACATTTTAGCTTATATACATCTGATCACATGATTTTCTATCACATTCTAGCCAATCACACGTTTCCAAAAGGTTCGGTAAGCTGTATTCAATTAAAAAAAGCTGAGTCATCATTCAATACTACTTCATTTTTGTTAAAAAGAAACATACTTGTTATTAACTCTCTGAACCACCAACAGATTTAACATTTGACCATCACTTACCGATTCCACTAATGTATGCCCATCAATATGAAGAGCGGGCACTTGTTCCATCGGATTTATTTCACGATATTCATTGCAGTGCTGCTCACCACCAGCCTTAATCAGACTTACAGGTTTGATGTCATATGGTATCTCCTTCAAGTTCAGGGCTACATGCAGACAACAAAATTATTCTGTGTTTGTATAACAGTTTCGTTATCATATCTTCTGTTTCCAGTCATACTGAATTATATGTCACTGACTGGAGATATTATGTACTGACAACAAGAAATTTAAATTGTAGATTTTAAAAATTAAAAATTCTAAATTATATTGACGAGTGGATATTAGCAGAAATTATAATATAACTGACAAAATCAGCAAAGGGATTCTGGTATATTGGGACTGATTGAATCGAAGCAATGACAATTTAGAAAGCTGGTGTTTTTAAGTTTTAAATTATGTGCAGTATGACAGCTACGTAAGTGAAATAAACCTGACGATGGCCAGTTACGGCTGAAACATGTAGTGTAAAAGAAGAAAGACAAAGAACTACAATAAACTGTTGCATTTACAACGGTGTTTATATTATACATATAAAAATATATATATAAACTGCAAGGGACTAGAAACCAAACTGTCAGACTGCTTAGTCATATGCATCAGTAGGACTGAGAATAACAAATCGTAAAGTTATAGGCAAGTATGGCTGGCAATGTACTCACCTATTCTAACACGCCATGAACAAGAGCTTCTCCAATATGAATACAAAACTGGCTGTAACACACAGAAAAAAGTTTAACAGTACAAGTAATATTCATAATAAAAATGATTATGCATGTATCTTCACGAAAGATAGAGGGGTGGATAGAAGTGACAAGAAGATGAGGAAGAAGACTTAAGAAGATGCTATATGACCTTGGGGACAGAAGAGGATACTGTCATTTGAAGGAGAAAGCTCTAGATCGCATTAAGTGGAGGAATTGTTTTGGAAGAGACTGTGGACCTGTCGTCTGACAGATTACTGATGATGATGATGATGTATCTTCACGTTTTGTAATTAGAATAGAGGATAAAATCTTAAAGAGATAATACACCCTTTTACCGGGTAATGTCTCAGTTCTTGGGAATAGTAAAAACAAATCATACTAAATGAAACAAGGAGAGCAAACTCATGAAACACAAACATATTCTTATTTTCTAGTCTTCCTTTCAAAAAGCTAATAATTAAAGTAAATATATTACCAGCCATTTTTCATTACTGCAAACGTTGCTCTCTTAGTTTACACTAAGAACAGTATCTGGACATCACAGAGATAAATAAGTAAGGTAAAAGATAAAGGTAAAGTTATCTCTGTGCTTGACTAACTGAGCACCATGCCATGAAGAAGTTTGGGGTCGTGGAAGTATAGTCCCACTTTTCTTGACCTCAGCACTATATGAAGGTGACTGGTCACTTTCTTGCTCCAGATACTTTACCCCTACGGAAAGAGCCCATGGTACCCACTGGATATGAAGCAGAGTGGGCCCGAGTTATCTGGATGTTGTGGAGTAGAAAAAAAAAAATCTTGTTCCCACCGGGAAACAAACCCCAGCCTTCCAGACCATAGCCTACTACTGCCTTGATATGTTAAAAAATTACATAACAAGGAATATTATTACATTTAAGGTTCTCACTGTCATTAGTATTAAGATTATGGTCTTTGGGGATATAGTAATCTGGTATCTCAGTAATCAGAGATTTAGCAATTACATCCCTACCATGGATGTTGGATTTGTGAAGCTCGCGCCAATCAGTTTTTGTGGAAACACGGTCTTCAAAATGAATATTCAGTTCTGCTGTCACCTGTGCTGCAGTAGTTCTGCGATTTTTCGAAACAATCCTTCTCAATGTATGACAATCTTCTTCTGTCAATGTTGATTTCTGCCCACTGCTCATCTTTGCTAATGTTGTCTTCCCATGATTCCTGTATGCCAACATAACCTTCGAAATTGCTGCTCTCAATACTCCTAAGAATGTGGCAGTCTTGTCACAGATGGTCCAGCTAAGGCAGCGTCTACATGAGCACACAAAATGTGTCCATTGTAACGAATATAATGACGTCCGTTGTAGAAATAAACAAGACAGGTGAATGCTACACTTTCTTCTGGCTCCATTGCAGACAAAAAACTATGCACTGCATTCTGTAACTGTGTGGTGTTCTCAGCAATGTCCGTCATAAAGTACGTTCGTTACAACAGATGCATTTTGTGCACTCGTGTAGACGCAGCCTAAATGTGCACCAAGGATCTTTCTTCTACCAAAATTGAACAAGTCTCCCATTTTCCGATTCTTTCACATGGACTGTCACTCAACACAATCATTAATGCACTGACACACGCACTACAAAATGTAAACAAATGAAATAACAGTATTGCCAACTGAAGTTCTTTCAATGAAATCAACACAAACAAATTATATTCCTCAATTTCTTAGTGTTCCTATTATTCTGTCCACCCCCCTGTACATTCCTCTGTCTACAAATGTGCTGGAAGAGGGATGATATCCACAAAACTTCTTCAGATGAAACCATCCAGTTACTTCCATGTCAATGATGTTTCTTCTGGCTCCCATGACCATGTAATCAAAAATCAACCTGAAATACTAACTATTCTTAGTTCGATCCCTGGTATGGTCACGTGGGATTTGTGGTGGACAAAGTGGCGCTGGGGTGGGTTTTCTCCGAGTACTTCGGTTTAGCCTCCCAATCTTCATTCCACCAAATTCTCCATCAACATAATCACCCGGAGCAGGCTACAGTGGGCCATTCAGTGGCCGCCATGCCCAGTGGACCCAGTTGGACTCCACCCCCCACTAAGCAAAGAAAAAAAAATAATTTTATACAAAAATAAATACACCAAGTATCAATAACAAACATGCCCAAATCAATTCCGAAAGATAACAGCAAACTCATTTCATGGGTTTGGATATACTGAATTTTCTAATACAGCGGAAATAAACACAAAGACCACAAAATGTGATTAACGTATCATAAATTCACAGCTCAAGGAGGGGACATTTCTGTCAGTGTAGAAGCATGCCGCAGAACTCAGTTTCAATTCCCGACAGGAACAAAGGCTGTTCTCTTTTCAACTGAGTCAAGACCGGCTCTAGGGCCCTCACTGCCACCTGTCGAATGGGTATCGGGGAGCCTTTCACGGGGATAATGTAGCCGATATGCAAAAGTAACCACTCACCTCCATTTAGTGAAGTTTAAGATGTTATTAATGCGTAGAGCTATACTTCCATTCACCTACGTCTTCGTTGCGTGGTGCTTAATAAAGCAAAGATACTTTATCTTTTTACCTGTTACATTCACGGCTAAATTTCCACTTTTACGCACTTTATACTATGCTGTCAACACAGTTAAAGGAAAATTATTAAATTCTTCTGGATATCTGAATTATGAATTCGAAAAAACAAATGTCACAAAATTTGAATCCTGACAGGCGAAAAGCTGTTTTAACTACTGTCTGACAGAAAGCTCCCAATAACGACTTCACTAATACGCGGCAAAATGTTTAGAGAACACTGTCCCACCACTGTAGAAATAAAATAGTTCTGCCCACAGAGAAAACATTATTTACCTTGCCTATTACAGACATATTTTCTTCAACGTATATTTCAAACCTGTTCAGGGTGTAAAAACGTTTATCTTTTACTATTAAGGTACAACAGTTACTACGGCCAGACGCCTCTTTTATATACACTTTCCTCTTGCTCGGCGCAATACTTGCAAGTGGTTGATTGCAGCGCTAAATATGTTATTCTGCAGAAGCTGTATTTAGAACAGTTGACACGAGAAGATCCCAACAGCTGTTTGCCATTCTGACAAACATAAGCATAGGACAGAGAAGGCATACAATACATATACTGTCGTTCACATAGGTTCATATTATGTGACGTTGGCAGACCTGCAAAGAGGCAACGTGTTGGCTTGTGAGAAGAGTGTTTGTTTACTTTTAGTTATGGAATACTTACCTTAAAAATTAATTTGGTATACCAGTGTCTTGAAACACAGTTGCGTGGTGCGAAATGGAAAATTGCCAGAAAATCAATGAAGTAACAAAGAATGTTAAGAAGTCCAGAGTCGGTTTGGAAGAAAACAAAGAGAGGTAGGGTTATATTTGTAATTAAGCAACGCCAAAGGTTGGGGTTTAACCAAGGGTCTTTTGAATACTACACTAGAACCGTACCAACCAGACCACCGGGATGCCATAGTGCTCATGAACTTTGACGAAGAGATTGCTTGAGAGAAACGGTTATAGAGAAATATATTAAAATTTATCTTAAACGGTCTGAGAATGTGGCCTGGATTCATGTGCCATCCGATATATGTAATTCTGGGCTCTTGTAATCATGGTAATTATCCTTTGGATCCCTTAAAATGGAGGAATTTTTTGGCAAGCGTGGCAACTTTCGCTTCTCAAGGACTCTGCCCCACAGTTAGATAAACACTGTACTCATATTTTACAGCTGTATAATAATTAGAAGCCATGTAATGAAAAGTGCACAATCCTTTGGTATCCTGGTCAAAAATATGGGCAGCTGCATCATATCTGATTCTATTATGGGCAGCGTGCCCAAGTACAAGTGAGAGAAAAATATTCATAATTACTGAGTTTTTGGACTTCGTTCATCGTCTGGTATTCTACAAACCAGAGAAAACAGTGTTTCGGAAGCTGGATCTGTTTCCGTCCTCAGGTGGGGGAAGACACCTACTCTGTTGGGTCCCATAGAAAGAGCTAACCTCAATCACTGGAGAGAAAAATATGTTAATTTATGGTGTACCACTGCATTATATCCCAGACCATAGACAGTAACCCTAGGGTGTTTAGTACTTTACCAGAGAAACAAATTAACAAAATGCATTTAACACCAATGATGGAATAACAAATATGAACTGATATGCTTGACAAGTGCAACAGCCAGCAGTATATGAAAATGAAAAGTCTAGGCAAGTTAACATCAGTCACAGCACAACTCAAAAAGTTGCCAGTTAGCTACTTTCTAGTGGTATATTTGATATGCGACACAGGATGAACTCATGAAAGAGAGTTATGAGAAACTGAATATGTATGAACAAAGGTCATGCCAGAACACTTATGTTAGAGAACCCAATGTACACAGCCTCCCATATCCCAGAACAAGAATGACTTAAGTTGCCCAAACATTCCCTAATAACGCGAATTACACAGCCTTCCATGTTCGAGGAGAAAGCTGACCCAGACAGCACAACAATATGAGTTACAACAGCCTTGCATGTTCTAAGACAAGTAAGGCCCAAATTACAAGGGTTACCTTTTGTAGAAATAGACAAGTCTTATTTTGCCCTGTAGCCCAAAAGATAACACAATATTCATGTTGTATGCCCACACAGAATACACAGTAATTATCAGCTCTTTTCTATAATAAGGCCTGTCTGACCAGGTTGATGCCAGGTAACACAGATGGAAAATAGTTTAGAATATTACATGACACATGACTTGTGCCCTCCTCAGAGTCATGTGTGTAAGGAGACCAAGGCCTTGTTCTGAGCCACATACATATCTGAAACGTGATTATTAAGATTAGGATTGGTGAAAGGGCATCATGAGCTGACATTTGCATGTCACATAATTAACTAACTTCCTGGAACTGAGCCCTTCTTGAGAAGCTGCCAATTGTGCAGCTATGCAAGAACTTCCCTGTATTTTATGGAACCTGAAGGTTCATCACCGTGTTCACAAGGGCCCCTCACTGGTCCCTATCTTGTGCCGGGCTATTCTAATTCATATCACCCCATCCTATCTCTCTAAGATCTATTTTAATATTGTCCACCCACCTACGTCTTGGTCTTCCTGGTGGTTTCTTTCCTTCTGGCTCTCCCACCAATATCCTATTCCCCCCCATTCATGCTACTTGCCCTGCCCATCTTGTATTCCTTGGCTTGATCATTCTAATTATGTTTGGTGAAGAGTGAAGGTCCACATTACACATGGAAAACAGAATCTAACCAAGTGAGCCAGCAGGCTCAGAAGACATGAGTAAACTTAGTGAATGGCAAAAATATTTGATGTAGATTGTATTATAGGTTCATATCCTGTAATCGACTTTAAGCCTTTTCTGTAACAAATGCAGTGGAAAATAATAAATTTAAATGTCACTCACTGCAAGTCTGTGCTATATGTAATATGCGTGTGTGTACACACACACAAAAAGAGAGAGAAGGAGGGACACTAGGATGCATTGGGGGCCATGCCATAGCTCAGGAGGTTAGTGACTGACTTTCCAACATGGCGACCCAGGTTCAATTCCACATCAGATCATGTGGGATTTGTGGTGGACAAAATGGTACTGGGGTAGGTTATGTCCAACTGCTTCAGTTTCCCCTGCCAATTTTCATTCCCCCTACTGCCCCATATTTATTAATGGCTTTATAGCCCTTGTGGACCTTGGCTGATTTTTCAGTTTCTTAATCTATACAGTCAGTAGGATGCCTTAGACAGGTGATCAGCCTGTCACAAGGCCACTACTTACATACAGAATAACTGCACAGAGACATCCATGCCTCCACTTGGATTTGACCCCATGATCCCAGTGTTCAATTGGGCGAAGACCCACACAGCCACTGTGATCAGTAATGATCCTGTCTATGATGCTATATAGTCTGGATCCTGGCAGCATCATTAAATAACAAACTAAAAAAAAAAGACAAATTTTAGCAATTAAAGAAAAAGGATATATTGAAATTAAATGGGTTGGCAAGGCAATATTAATTTAAATAAGATATATTTTCTGCAAGGAAATTCCAGTTTTTCTTTGTCTTCAAAGGCCCAATAAATAAACTGGAGTATCATGAAAGTATGACATCCAGATATCCAGCTATTTCACAGGCATTGTTCTTTTCCATTTTGCAGAAATAATCAGACATACTGGTGGTTAGTTTTTGGAGCAGTTTTACTACTGACAGCATGGAGTAGGTTTCATAAAGTTTCAGAACCTGATCATGTTTGGTGAGTATGATGGCACCATTTATCTGAAGCACTTTTCCATGCTTCTAAGAAATGTAATGAAGATTACAAATGGTACAGTGTTTACTTGACTATATAATAGTGTATTATATATACTTAAATCATTTTCAGTTGGGATGAGACACATTTTGGCAAGATGGGAAGTTGGTATATCAATCGGACATTCTTTTTTGATGTCCATCCTCCTCTAGGCAAGGTGAGACTCTTTCTGGGATTATGAAATGATCAGTGTGTGATACCTATAAAACAAAAGGTTCTAAGATGAATGAAACCATACTTCAGTTAATGCAGTTTGTGCTGTATGGAATTAGTTATACAGTCAACTCTCGATTATCCGGGGGCGGATTAACCGGTTTGCGGCTTAACCGGGGCTTTTTTTTTTAAGTTTATATGTTGTTTAATATTCATTCACTTTTGTTTCACATGGTGAGTTTAACACTATTTTCGCACTAGTGTGAACCGAGCTCTGCATTATTTCGTCCCGTTATGCGAACACAATGTTCTAGGGTGGGGGTGAAAGAATGCAAGAATTTTTGGAAAGTTTCAAGGACAAATACACCGCCCCAGGTTATTTAACGGTACCATCTCAGTGTGAGAGTGCATTGTGAAAGTAAGTATCAGTTTCTTAATATAGATCTTCAAGTGCGTTAGCAAAATGTCGGGGTTTAAAAGGAAGCGTGTTGTGTTAAGTATTCAACAGAAACTTGAAATTATCAATCAGCTGGAAAAAGGAGCTGTAGTTAAACAATTAGCAATGCAATACGGTATTGGAGAACAAACTGTTCGTGATTTGAAAAAACAAAAGAATGAGTTAATTTCCTTTGCTTCGTCTTCTAATTCAAGCGGAATGAAGAAGAGAAAAACCATGAAGAAATCAACATACGATGATCTCGACAAAGCGATGCTGACCTGGTTTAATCAACTAAGGGCACAGGGAACAACAATAACAGGACCAGTTTGTGCTAAACAAGCTAAATATTTTTTCGAAGCACTTGAACTAGAAGGGAGTTTTGACGCTTCTTCCGGTTGGCTAACACGTTTCAAGCAGCGTCATGGAATACGAGAAATCAGTATTCAAGGTGAGAAATTGTCAGGGGACTTGTCAGCATCAGATCAATTTTGCACCAATTTTGATAGTTTTGTGAAAAGTGAAAATCTGCTGCCAGAACAAATCTATAATGCCGATGAAACGGGTCTTTATTGGAAATGCTTGCCAACCAGAACATTGGCATTTCAAAATGAAAGACAGGCTCCAGGTCACAAATCCAGTAAGGAGAGATTGACAGTCTTGTGCTGTTCTAATGCATCAGGAACACACAAACTAATACCAGTAGTTATCGGCAAAGCGAAAAGACCACGCTCTTTTAAAGGAACAGTAGCTTCAAGTCTGCCTATCCATTATTTTAACCAGAAAGTAGCTTGGATGAATAGAGCGATATTTAAAGAATGGTTTGATTTTAAATTCGTGCCTCAAGTTCGTGACCATCTAAAATCCCAAGGCCTACCTGAGAAAGCTGTGCTCCTCATTGACAATGCGCCCTCACATCCTAACGAAAGTCTCCTGAGGTCAGATGATGGAAATATTTTTGTGAAATATTTTCCCGCTAATGTTACCGCACTTATCCAACCAATGGATCAAGGAGTTATCTCAAGTATGAAGAGAATCTACAGATCAAATTTGCTACAAAAGTACATCGATGAAGGCAATGATCTGACGTGTTTCTGGAAGTCCTTTTCAGTATTAGATGCCATATACGAGATTTCAACAGCGTGGGATACAGTAAAGCCATCTGTATTGAAAAATTCATGGAAGAAACTGATGCCTTTCATCACTAATGAAGATGACGAAATCCATGGATTCACTGGATTCAGTGAAAATGAGATAGCCATAAAATTGACAAAAGTGGCTAACCAAGTTCATGGTGGTGAAGAAGTCAACGAGGAAAATATAAGAGAGTGGTTTAACTGTGACTCGTGTGAACCGGGCTTCGAAATGTTAAGCAGTGACGAAATCGTAACTTCAATGGGGGTGCAGCCAGAAGAGCGGGAAGAAAGTGAGAATGAGGAAGAGGTGGACAGTGTTGCCAGTAAGAAAGTATCACATGGTGCTGCGCTTAATCATTTGGAATCCTTACTAGACTATCTTGAGAGTGAAGAGGACAGTTTATTAAGTGACAAGCTAATATTACGTAGGCTTCGTACGGATATCCGTAAAAAGGAAAATGCCGCGAAAAAGCAAAAGACAGTATTAAATTATTTTAAGTGTTAAGTGTGACCGTAAAAAGTGCTGGATGTTGTTGAACAGTGATTGAAATAACTAATTCATACTGAGTGTAATGTAAAGAAAGTATTAAATAGGCCATGAGATGACATAGAAATGAGGATGAATAAATTTAAATACAGGTAGGTCTATAGTATTATGAAGGTATTAAAAGGTAAAAGGTAAAGTTGTTCCTCTGCTCAACGAATTAAGCCCTACGCCATTAAGGCGTGTGGGGGAGTGGATGTATAGATCCAAATTTTCTTGACCTCGGCACTAGTTGGAGGTGAGTGGTCAGCTTCACGCCCCGGCCGCTTTACCCCCGGGGAAAGAGCCCCCGGTACCCATTGGATAGGAGGTTGGATGGACCCCAGAGCCGGTCTGGACGATTTGGAGAAGTTAAAATTCTTGACCCTACCGGGACTCGAACTCCGACCCTTCACAGTCGTCCAGCCCGTATAATAAAATTTGGCTTAACCGGGTTTTCGATTAACCGTGACTTCCATCCCCACCATTAGCCCAGATAATCGAGAGTTGACTGTAGTTAGAAAATAACAGGTGCTGAAGAAAATAACCATCATTTTCTGAAAACGTGAAGATTATGGTCTCCTGGAATGTGAAGTCATGTAGTAGTTAAGTTCCTGTGAAACATTTATAATGTCCAGATTACACAGCACCACATCACAGACAACCATAACCTGCTTATAACTGGATTAATAACATGGAGCAGCTGGATTGTTTTACAGATCTTATGTTTAAAATTGCTTGCAGTTTCTGTTCTTCTGGCTACTTCTTCCTCCCAGTATTTGTGGACATTTAGGTAAATATAATTATCAGTTAAAATTAGTAATAGAGCAAAAATGGCTTGATTTGATTGTTAAATAGGAATACAAGAAACTGCAAATCTTTACACAAAGTTTTATTATTACTGAAGATGACAATGGAGCACATGGAAATGCAGAATATGTATTTCTTTGTTATGAAGTTTGTCATCACTGAGACAGTTTTCATCAGCAGCTGTTTACAATAGTCAATCACTGTGTTCCAAGGTGTTTGAGAAGTATGTCCCATTTCAAGAAAAGTTTAAAGGTGTTTAATTGTATGTCATAAGCTGTACCCATAATGTTTTATATGAAGTTTGTAAAATTTAAATTTTTTCTAAGTGTATTTTGTATTTAATATGTTTAATTTATAATATTTCAGATGCTGATAGCTTTATCTGGTTACCTCACAGGCTATGATGGAAGGTTTGCTTTCGAGAAGCCTGGTGACAAATACGAAGGTGTCAATTATGTGGGCATGAGAGTGGTATGTTCCAGATATCTGTGTAGCTGTGTAAAGGAAAATTAACCGGAAAAAATATGAATAAAAATATATGAATAGAAGGGACATTTATCACAGTGATAGCTCAAGGCTACATATGACAGAGCTTCACGAGAAAAACAAGAATAAAATTTTAACATGAGAGCTGTTATTTTGCATGAAAATGGACCATGAGAACTCAGTAATGTGAATGACTATATGCCCTACTCGTCTGCCATGTAGATGAAGGGAGGAGGTTCCTCCAAAACATTTGTACCTGTCTACCAAATTATATGGTGTCATACTGCAGAAGACAGTAAGCTCTACCAAATACAGCTTTTTCAATGTGATTAAAATTACATTTCTATGTTAACACAGTTCTTACATACAGTAATAATACACATGCTATCCTTGCTGAATGCAGGGGTTATGTTTCTGAAAATACAGTATTCAGCAAAATCAAGGATCTGTGGTAGAAACCATGGTTTAGGGAATTTGGGAAGTGGGGGGGGGTGAATGAACTCATGTTTTCATAATGTTGCATCTACATCATTTTTACTGATTTCTATCTGCATTAGTTAAAATCAGGTTTAATTAAAATTAATTAAAATTAAAATTTTAGGTGCAAGAATTATTGTAGACAAACATAGGTTAAATTTTTCATGAGCTTGTATTATCTCTTCCAGTTTTGTACCCTTTTGGGAGCCTGCATTGTACCGTTTGCTTTTATTATTGTATGGGAGATGACCCACTCTTTAACAGCATCTACTTTGTCAGCATCGTTCATTCTGTGTGGTACGTAGTGAAACAGAATTTTGACCCTCTTCCTTCTCTTTTAAAATAATATTTTGAACTTGTTTTAGTGTAAAATACCGTGCAAAAATTGGTTTAATTATGTGAGTCAATTTAGCATGTCAGTGGTCTATCATTAAATGACTTAGTTCTGCCTCTGCTTTGTGTAAAGCAAGTCATAAATATAATTTTTTGTAGATGTAGTGTAACACAAGGGCTCAGATTGTTAGGCTTTGTAATGTGTATTGTTTATACAAAGTTTATATTGTATCTTGCCTGATCCAGTTTTTTTTTATTGCTAGTGGGGTGGGATTAAGTCCTTTGTACTGTGGCCACTTCTGGTCTATTGTACCAGCCCCAGATAATAGGTGAGGGTGATTGTGGAGCAATTGGTGGAATGAAGATTGGCAGCAGAAACCAAAGTACTCAGAGAAAACCTGCCTCAGCGCCACTTTGTCCACCACAAATCCCACTTGACCAGACCCGGGATCAAACCCGGGCCGCTGCAGTGGGAAGCCAGTGACTAACCGCTTGAGCTATGGTGCATTTGCCTGATCCAGTTACTATGAAGCCTTTATGCAGATGTTCTTTCCTACTCTGGTTTGGTCATCACAGTACAGCCCTTTTTAATTTTTTCTTCTATTTTAGATGTTGGTATTCTCACGCTGACTCAATATATACTACTGGACCCCATACTTCTCTTCTTTGTGATGGGCTCTGTATTGGGAATGGTGAAATTCCATTCCTGCAAAGACAGGTAATATGAATAAAATTGCTATGTGCAGTTGTATTGTAAAAGATGATGCTGACATTAAAACTAGAAACTACAAGTGTGTTAATGGCTTAATTAGATAAATTTAAAAAAGTTCTTGTTTACTAATGCAGGACCCTATATTTCATTACATATTTTTTAACACTGTGAATACCAACTGTAACCTTTAACATACAATCAGTTGATACATGGTTAAGGGGTTCCATATTACAAGTGTGCAATATAGTGCAATGCCATTTTAATATTTCTTGACATGTTTGTTTTTCCCTGCTTCTTATTCAATATTCAGTTTCAACGATTCTAGTCCATAATCCCACTTTTAACTTTCCTCTATTTAACATTTTCCTCAGTTTAGTGTTCAGATTCACTGCTTTCCAAAGAAACCTTAAACTTGGATTTCACAGCACAGTGCAGTTGAATTTTATGTGAGGATCTGTTACTGAAAACCTTGCATAATCGAAGACAAGTTTTGAAATATTTCAAACTTTGTGCATAAAGTGATATTTTATTAATATTTTTTATGTCACGCTATTTCAAATTTGCATCAGATGCAACCATATTGAATAGTGAAATTCTTCTAAAAGCCACATTTTGTGATTGAATGCACATCCATTTATTAAGCTCTGTGTACAACAGGCCACACTAGAATGTAGTCAGTGTGTGCATCTCAGGAGAAAAGCTGCATAAAGATACTATTTCCATTTTCATATAAGAAATGAAGTAAATTATTACTGTAGCTTTGTGAGCACCACTTGCACGTTTTCAAGATGCTATTTAAAAAATTGAAGTTCATGTTGTATTTGAGAAATATATTTCTGGAAACTTAAGACTCTGCTGGAATTTCTATATTGGTAATCAGTATTTTATTTTGAGGTCAGAAATCCCCCAGATGTACCAGTAAATAATTGAATTTTTTGTCTGTTTAACAGAGCATTTTCATTCAGTTGGTGGGCATGGCTGGTGTTTACTGGAATAATGATTGCTTCAGCTATCAGTGTTAAATTTGTTGGTCTGTTTGTTGTTATTCTGGTTGGTACTCATACCGCAGCTGACCTGTGGGATGTGCTAGGAGATCTCTCCAAACCAATTGTGAGTAGTATTTATCTCACACTGATTTCATGTCAGTATTATGAAAAACACAGGGAGGGTAGGTAATTTGACATTTTCCTGACTTAATGGATAAGAAATATGGGAAGAAGCTGAAAGTTAAAACAGTTTCTTTTTTCAAAAATTTGTGTTTTATAATAGAAGACTTTTGGCATTGTTATTGTTATGTTACTCTATATACCAACAGCAAAAAGGTAATCCCTTTAACGGGCATGGAGGCCAATACAGTTGTGAGATGTCGAGGCTGCCACATTTTCTAGACAGTCGGCTCACAGATGGGGGTGAGGTTGTCAGCCTTACGTGCTGAGTGCCCTTTACTCACAGGAAGATCCCTGGTACTCATTTTTGTTAGAGGCTGAGTCAACCCCAGGGCCATAGTGCAGCTGGAAGAATTAGGTTAATTGAAAAATTCAATGACCTCATCAGAAATCAAACCCGCCACCTTCCAGCTTTTAACACAGTGCCTTGACCAACTATGCTATCATGTGCCCCATATACCAGTGGTGTGGATTCTTAACCTGTTAGAAGAAACTATGATAACAAAATATGAAATGTACATAAAATATAGTTTTATTTTTTTAAAACAAGTGGTGTGATAATTTGGGCTAAGCAAATATTTGCCTAGTTCATAGCCCCCCTATGTCACTTTAGGTGGTTGTATATTTTACTGAAATAATACAATATTTGTCTGTAATATATAATGCAGGGCATAGTTTTCCACTTTTTAGCCATGCTTTTATACTCATGGATGACTAGGTGAGCTATTTGTTCAGCCCTTAGGACAATGTTGTCATTTTCTGACATTTTAACTAGAGTTTTCATTTGTTTCAGAGTTACACTCTTAGACATTTTCTGGCCAGGGCAGTGTGCCTAATATTCCTGCCTGCTCTTCTGTATGTCATCTTTTTCTACATCCATTTGGTTGTGCTTAACAGAAGGTTAGGAATGAGAATTTCCATATGTTTTATTATTGTATTATTTTCAGCATACATTCCTTTGGACCTTAGTGTCTGTATGACATCATTTTAAATTTTGAACTTCATCATTCACATACCACACAATTACGAAGAGAGGCAAATGGGTCTAGTAGGTCTAGTGTCACATTGTTCACAATATAAAACTGTTACTGCCAAACTTAGATCTGGCTGCTAGCAGAGTAAGAGCAGGAGACTTAAATTCCTTGTTCTCAGATGATCAAAGTTTAACTTTCAACTGATCTCCATGGCATTCATTATGACAGTTATGCTGTTGAGGAACACAAAAAATTTTCTCAAATAGTTGCATCACAGTAACCTTAAAAACAAATGACCTATGTATGATTCAAACCAGTAGTTACTCCCCTTGCTTGCATGGCATACCCTCTGACCTTTAAAAAAGGATTGTGTTCTTACAAATAAACTTCTATGGATGAGAGCATGAAAATGGTGGGTGATATGGTGAAACATTTTTATTTACCTGGAAGACCCATTAATATGTAAGTCCCACATTTTTATAGCTTGAATAATGTTATGTATTTTTGTCTTCTTTTAGTGGTAATGGAGATGGCTTCTATAGCTCTGCCTTTCAGTCACAGTTGGAAGGGAACTCTCTGTATAATGCCAGCATGCCAAGAGGTGAGTTTAAGATTGTGTGCTTAATTAAAATTTGTTTTGTCAAAGGAGATGCACACAGTTTTACTGCATTCATTGTATCATTTTTTGTCTTGGATGGGGTTCAGCACAGAATATATAATAAACATTTGGGTTCCATAAAAGCAGGGCATTTCTTGACCACCTGAATTACTGCCAGCTTTTTAAGCAAGGCTGTGTAACATTCCTCTCTTCTAATATTCCTGTTAATTTGATCTTTTATGTTAATATGTATGTACAGTCTCAAATATTAAATACTGTGTTATGACCAGTGCCTCCTGTTTTAGTCTCTGCCTGCTTTGGCAGTGGTGGAGTCCATTCTAAGATGGAGGTTACTTGAGTTATATGGATGATTCATACATTATTTACTGTTATAATTGTTTATTGGAAAATTAATACTCTCAATTAAATCTGTCCTCTGTAAGATCAGATAATTCGCACTTCAACCTATACAATGTATAAATGGAAGTACAGTCAACTCTCGATTATCCGGGGGCGGATTAACCGGTTTGCGGCTTAACCGGGGCTACTGAGGCTTTTTTGAGGCTTATATGTTGTTTAATATTCATTCACTTTTGTTTCACATGATGAGTTGTAACACTATTTTCGCACTAGTGTGAACCGAGCTCTGCATTGTTTGGTCCCGTTATGCTAACACAATGTTCTAGGGTAGGGGTGAAAGAATGCAAGGATTTGTGGAAAGTTTCAAGGACAGATACACCGCCCCAGTTGGTCTCTTTGTATTGATCTTCAAGTGCGTTAGCAAAATGTCAGGGTGTAAAAGGAAGTGTGTTGTGTTTAGTATTCAACAGAAACTTGTGTGAGCCGGGCTTTGAAATGTTAAGCAGTGATGAAACCGTAAGTTCAGTGGGGGTGCAGCCAGAAGAGCGGGAAAAGAGCGAGAATGAGGAAGAGGTGGACAGTGCTGCTAGTAAGAAAATATCACATGGTGCTGCTCTTAATCATTTGGAATCCTTACTAGACTGTCTTGAGAGTGAAGAGAACAGTTTATTAAGTGACAAGCTAATATTGTGTGGGCTTCATATGGATATCCGTAAGAAGGAAAATGCTAAGTGTTGAGTGTGAATATGTGTAAAAGGTGTTGGATGTTATTGAACACTGTGATTGAAATAACTAATTCATACTTCAGTATAATGTAAAAAAAGTATTAAATAGGCCATGAGATGACATAAAAATGAGGTTGAGTAAATTTAAATACAGGTAGGCCTATAGTATTATGAGGGTACAGTATTATAGTACTACTTTTAATAATGTTTGTCTTAACCGGGTTTTTGATTAATTGTGATTTCCATGCCCACCATTATCCCGGATAATCGAGAGTTGACTGTATAACTTTATGCAGATAGTAAGAACTGGTCAATAGCTCAGTTGCTATTTCTAATTTAGTAGTACATATTTCTCTGTTTCTTGATAGAGGTTGCATATGGGGCAGTTATAACACTCAAGAACCACCGTACGGGTGGCGGCTATTTACACTCACACTGGCACCTGTACCCTGAGGGGGTAGGGGCAAGACAGCAGCAGGTGAGTTTCACTACGAATTGTTAGCATACCCATTAACAGATCCTGTCACTGGCAACAATTATATTACTAGTTTCATATTTTCTTTTTTTATATATATAAAGATATCCTTACATAAAGTACCCATAGTAGTGGTAATGTGAATTGGATTAAGTTGACTTGGTGGGGTCCAGCTGCAGATTTTTGTTTGAGTGATATTGAGTATTCAGGCTGTAATACCAGAATGAGCGAGGAACTGCAGCTGAACAGTAATTTCATCTTCACATAATTAGGCGATAAAGCAGAACTGGGGAATAATTATGCCATGACTATCGTGAACTGTATTTTTAAATATTTCTCTGATATATGCTCTTTTTCTTGCTTTCTATAAATTTTTATTTAGTATACCATGTTTATACATTGATGTAAAGTTGTAACTTAGGTGACAACTTACACACACAAGGATGATAACAATCTCTTCATAGTGAAGAAATACAACAGTGAATTGATGGATGATGATGATGATGCTGTGGAGATTGTAAAAAACGGAGATCTCATCAGGCTAGAGCATGTCACTACTCGAAGAAACATCCATTCCCACAAAGAGATGGCACCGATCTCCAAGAAACATTATCAGGTCACTGGGTATGGAGAGGTTCGTGTTAGTTCTCATATTCTGCATTATACATAAAATCAAAATTTCAGTTATTTATACACTGATAGACATTATATAAAGAAATGTTGCCAAAATAAATACTGAATGAAAGACATTTTCACTTTTATAAAATATTCATCATTTGCTGTCAATTTCCCTGATAAACACACATTAATTTATTACAAAGTTAAAGTTATGAAAATTGTAATGGAACAAGTGACTTTATTTAGTACCTAGGCCATACTGTATTTGATCAACATTTTCAGTATGTCTGGGTACATTAACATTTTACTGCTGTAATCTGATAAAGTAATTAATAGTGTAAAGAAAGGGAGAGAAATATTAACAGTGTTAAATCCACATACCAGGACTTGTGGAAAGAAATGTACATAGTAGGAGCACAGCAGCTGCCAGAAAGAGCTAACCTTAATCACTGGACCAGTGATTTCTAATGGACTCAACAGAGCAGGTGTCTCCCACACCCTCACCTGAGGACTGAAACAGGTCCAGTTCCCGAAACATTACGTTCTTTAGTGTTCTTTAGACTACTGGACGATAGACAAGATGTGAAAACGCAGTAAACCTGAGTGTTACGCACAACTGTCGGAACCCTCTATTTATCAATGTGTCCCAGCAATACACAACCTGTTCAGTTCCAATAGAGAAGAAATCAGGGCTCAGCATTTGCATCCTCTGCCACACCCAAGCTTTTACCATACCATCACATCAGAAGTGTTTTCCTCTGCTGTTGCTCTTAGTCCAGGAACCAAAGGAGAAAGGCCTGTGCATTCCAAATGCCGGCAACAGCAACTTCCCCATGCACTGCTGGAAATGTCTATCCACGATTCAGCCCACACCTTCCATCTAGCAATTTCCATTTGTATAGATCACTGAAGAAGTACTTTGAAGGAAATTTCTTTTGACTTGGTAATGAAATGAAAGTTGAGAAGTGCCAGTGGTTGTAGACACTGAGCCCTTATTTCTTCTCTGCAGAAATCAAATTTGAATTGAGAGAAATGTCTCAGTCCATCTGGCAATTACATGAAGAAGCAGAGTGTCTCATGTAATCTGACGGCTTGTTATTTTGGGCATCTGCATTGAAATAATACATATGAGTGGAAGATACCCTCAGCCCACATTTTTCATAGAAAAACGAGATTAACCTTTATCCTACGGGCATTTAAATTCCGGTAAGAGCAGCGGTACGGAATTAATTTAAATACCCGCGATTATAAATCCATAAAAACTGCAATCATTTACTGTTTTTTTCTAGAAAGAATGTAGAATCAGATATTGTAATTTACAGACTTTATAAAATGTGTAAAAATTTTTAGACTGATTCCAAGTAAAAAATTCCCAAATTTGTCGTCTGTCTACATGAATTCAGAGTTCTTGGAAGTAAGAATGCTGTATGTAAATGTTGCAACACAGCGGATGGTATATGTCGTCATGTTTAGTCTTGCATGTATCAAAAGATTATACACGTAGTTCTTTTGGTATGCAGAGATGTGGGGTGAGTATCTATTCGTATACAAGAACCCCGATTGTTTATTATCGCTTGTCGCAACACAACAAGCTCTCTGTCCTCACTCCTCACTCTGCTGGAAGTAGATTATAAGTACTTTCATGGTTAGCATCGTAATACTGCCAAGCAGTTTCAAAAGCGTGAACCAACCATTGCGCTGTCTCGTTAGGAAGACGCTGACATATTTCAACTCATAAACGACTCCGAATAAGACTGTTGTAAATTCAATTCTGAGAGTGATGTTGAAGGTAGCGAATCAGAAAGTTATTTCGAAGGAGACCTAATCATCTTCGTCGGCAACCTGGGGACCACCACACCAGCGTGGCACGAGGAGTGTGAATAATTATTCAGGTGGAGCTGTGGGCAAACTGTGGCAAACAGTTATAGCATCTGTTGTCGAACCTGGAAATGGACAAATAAGCTATTTTTCCATCTCCTTGATCTGAACAGTTACATCCTGTTGTCACACAGAGAATTTCGTCTCGCTCTTGTGCGGAA